CTGGCATACTGTCAGTGCTTCGTAAGATATGCACCACCTTTTCTCTGTCGAGGGCAACTGGCAGGGAGCGATCACTTAGGACCTCTTTAGCCCAGGCAGGTGCTTTATTTACCCAGGAGGGACTCAGGTGATGGCTGCACATATAGAGCAGGTATAAGGAGTGTTCAGAGAGGAAGGAGGCCTGGCCTAAAGGAAGCCTGAGAGTCTGTGTTGTGAGGCACGTCAGTGTCTGACACCAGGCCTCAACTCTGAGGGTGACACCTCAATAGCAGGGTTTTCCTTCCTTCCTTCCTCCTGTGACTGCTGGTTCCTGTCTTCGCCCAGGATACTGTCCAAAAGGCAAGTGGAAGGGAGAAGTGGAGACTAGGGTACCCTGCTGGCTGTGAGTACTGAGTGTGGGTTCTGCCCTCCTTCCAATCCAGAAGTCCTAATCACTAAATCTGGGGTTTCTGGGTATGCTAGAAGATCACCTGCACCAATGTCCCTTTATCCCCCACTTCAGCTTAACATTCACTGATACAGAGTCTGTTCTAATGGTCATTCTCCTGTGAAGTCTTGGTGTTCTGGCCAGTATCAGTGTGCTAATCCTAACAACCTATGTCCTGAAAATACTGAAGTTTGGAGAAGTCCCCTGCCCCAGGCTATGACACTATAAGAGCCAGAGCCAGAACTCAAGCAACTAAAACCATTTTCCTTCTGGGAGCACAGGGCCTTCCCTCCTCACTATAGTGGGGAACCTAGCTCAGCTCTCCTCATAGTGCCTTCCCTTTCTGCACGGTGAACTAGTCGAAACTTCAGAACTTGGGCAATTCCCAAGCCTCATCCTGGGAACCAAGCCCTGGAAGAGACACACATGTAATGACATAATTATGTGCTCCAGCAGCCAAGTCCCTTCTCAAAACCTGGGGACAATGGGGACTCTCCTGGCATGGCAGCAAGGGCTGGACTTGGATGCACAGCTGTAACTGCTGAGGGAGCTTGATCCCTCCAGCAACCACAGGCAGATAGATGTAGCAAATTACTCATGCAAGCAGTGAAAGTCCCCACTTGAGCTATTGTGACCACTGGCCTGTGTTCAGCATTGTCCCCAGGAACAGGGCCACCAGCAAACCCCATAGGCATTAACTTCAGTGACTGATTAAGAATACAAGCCCTCCATCTGCTCTGTCAGGGCTCTCCTCATGGTGCTCTGGTGTCTGCTCTCTGTAGTCGCCTCTCTGCGCAGAGTCCATGAGTTGTGTCCCTGGTTCTCGGATGTGTCTTATATTTAGAGGGATGAGTGCCACACCGTGGTTAACTAGACAGGGCAGCCTGCAAGGGTGCTAGGCACTAGGTTCTACCTTCTCTCCCTGCCTCCTCCCTCTAGACCACTTTTGGGAAGTAGAATTCCTGACTATAGGGACTGTCTCCTCTCTGATAGAGTTTTCCCTGAGCTGGGGCAAACAGGGCCGAGGCTGCTCAGCACCCCTGGGCTAGGCCTCCAGAACCACTGAGTCAGCCAGTTAACATTGGCCCAGGGAAACCCAGATACCAGAGAAAGCCATGGTGGGCTCATTAACAGAAGTACCCTTACCCTTAGGTCTTATGAGGACTAGCCAGAACAACTTCATTTGGCCTCTGCTCAGCAAGAAAGGCACCCACCTGACAGCTTACGGTAAAATGGGCTTGATGGCCTCCTCTATTCCCCAGCACTGTCCCCAGGAGTAGCCACACTCATAATTCCACCCTAGGTCACCCTCAGTCTCCTAGGTAGATCTGACACAGTGCAATGAGCACTCATTCAGTTTTGTAAAACGATAGTAGGAGCTGTAAGCAGATAGGCCATCAGTATTCAGGGAATGCACAGGGACCTGGAGGCTGTATTCCATCGCCTCTCTCCCTGGGCCTAACCTACATTTGGAAATGAAGATACAGCTGAGGTTAATAGAAGACACAGTGAATAGTTGGTGCTAGTATATCTTCTGGCCAAGGCATAAAACAAGAAAGTAGAAATGACAGAGACACTTCCTTTAGATTTTTAAGACCTTTTAGCTGCCATTCTTGCCATAGCAGAACAGAGGCCAGCAAGCAAGATGGAGCCCCTGTAACCTCTCCTGAGGAGGTCATGAGAAGCCCACTAGCTCCGTACCTTAACCTGGATATTTAAAACAATACTGTGGTGCTGGACGTGGTGGCGCTCACCTTTAATTCCAGCACTTAAGAGGGTCTCTGCATTTGAGACCAGCCTATTGTACATAGTGAGCACCAGGACAGCTAGGGGTACATAGTGAGACCCTGTCTCAAAAAAACAAATACCCTAGGGGATAGGAACTCCAAAGGAAGTTGAAGACCAACAGTATCAACTAACCTGGACCCTTGGGGCTCTCAGAGACTGAACCACCAACCAAAGAGCATACATGGGCTGAACCTAGGCCTCCCTGCTCATATGTAGCAGATGTGTAGCTTGGTCTTCATGTGGGTCCCAAACAACTGGAGTGGGGACTTTGCTAAAAGCTGTTGCCTGCATGTGGGATATGTTCTAGCTGGGTTGCTTTGTCTGGCCTGAGTGGGAAAGGACCACTCAGCACCTCGCCTCACAGAGACTTGTAGTGCCAGGGTGGGAAGATACCCAGAGGGGTTCCTGCCTGCTCAGAGGAGAAGGGGAGGGGAGAAGAGGAAGGATTTGTGGGAGGGTGTGACCAGGAGGCAGGGAGTGAGCAGAAAGTAAAATGAATAAGTAAAAAATTTTAAAAATTGAAAAAAAAAATGTGGTAATGTAGGTCTATAAACAGGGCTTCACAGATCCCAGCAGCCCCACAGTACTAACTGCCTACCCTGGTTAGCCAGGAGAAACCATAGCAAGTATGGAGCCCTAGACCTTCACTCTCCACCTTGTTTAGGTATCACTAAAACTAACTTCAGAGACGCCTCTGGCATGAAAGTGATGAAGCTTTTTGACATTTTCCTGATGTTAACAGAATTATCCTACAAAGAGTAGGACCAAAGAGGCAAGGACCTGGATTAGGAAAAGAGGGAAGCTCCGCTGTCTTTGTGGCATTAAGGGGAGAGTATCGACAGGAGATAAAGCCAACCAGCCATGTGAGTTTTCAATTATGCCTGGGATGCCAGGACTAGTTTAGTATGAATGCCCAGTCATTGAGTTAAAATAGACATTTTAAGATTAACTGACATATATGTGTGTTGATTTTTATCTGTAGAGCCAAGGGAATCTGGATGAGGGCTGGTAGCACAGTCTACCCAGAGCTTAAGGTGGGGTAGCAAAAAACTACATGCTACAAGATTTTATAGCCAAAAGATGAGAAACGGGGCAGTAAGGAGTCTTCTGAAGGTCTTTGCTAGTGGATAGCATGCCTGCCACCCGGCTCTATGTCCAGGAAGCCAGACCTGTAGGCTTACCGGACAGCTAGCTCTGGCCGTCGAGTTGCATCGGTGGGTGGGCAGCATCTAGGCTGGAATTTGCCCTACTATCTTCTGAAGAGGAAACAAACAAAACAAAACCACATTGTGCAGTTAGCTCTTGAAGAAAAGTCCTGTCCTAGACTTACCACATGAATGATAAAGTTTTGTCTCCAAGAAGCAAAGAGCTACCTAGCTTCCCACACTTTCTTTCCCCCTCAGTTCTATGTGTGGATGACTGTTCTCCCCCCAACCCCCGTCATCTCTAAACATGCGCTTACCAAGCTCTGTGAGGTGTAGCATATAAAAAAGAACCCCTTTCCTTGAGGGACATTTAATCTTCTGCAGCGTTAAGTAGACAAGCTATTTTGGGTTTTAAGACAGAGTAGCCAAGCTCAGAATAGAGGTTCCACCTCAACCCTGAGAGTAGGGAAGACTACCTAAGAGAAATGCAGAGTGAAACCAGGGTGGGTAGGGAGGACTCCCCAGTGAACAGAGGAAGCAGGTAAGAGACATGGCAGAGGGGCCTGGAGGCTGTAGGGTGACAGATATCAAAGCTTTGCCTGATGGTGTGTGTGTGTGTGTGTGTGTGTGTGTGTGTGTGTGTGTGTGTGTGAAGAGAGAGAGAGAGAGAGAGAGAGAGAGAGAGATTGTGTCGCAGGTGTGTACACTGAGACTGGTAATGGTAATAATAATGAAAGACCCCAGGTCTTTGAGTGCATTTCCCATAGCTGTTGCCAAAATGAGGGGCACTTTTATAATAGGGTCTGATTTAGTGGCTGAGTGCAGCATCTGCAGAGTGGGCTGGTGAGGGTAAGAATCAGTCAGGGTAGAGGATGGGATGTCACTCCCAGCTGTGATGAAACTCTTGATGACAAGACCCTGACAGGCTAGCTACAGATACAGCCAGGCTGGGTTCAGGGACATGCGTGGGAGAAAAGAGTTTGTGGTAGAATCCATTCAGGCTGCCCCCAACCAACAACTTCATTCATATGTGCCCACATATGCCCACAAAGAAGTAAGAGGACAGCCACAGTCCCCAGCAGGGATGTGAGCTTTGAAGAAATAGGCCTGATAAGGCAGCAGGGACCAGGGACCATAAGAAAGCCTGCCTGGAATTTGACTGACAGAGGGCATCATAGAGGGCAGATGGCTGGCTGAGGAAGAGTAGTTGGTACAATGCAGTGAGCAGAGAGGAGCTTCAACCAAGGCATGTGGGTAAGGCAGGATGGTAAGTCAGGGCCGCTCCTTAGAGTCTTTCCTAGGGAAAAGCCAGAGCCAGGACTGCTGCTGCACAGAGTCACTGAAGCCCCTGAAGGCAGAGGCAGGTGAGAGGATAGCTGATGTAGGGAATATGACCCAAGGCCACCTCTGCTCCTCGGGCTCTCTGACCCTGGCACATTTGTATGTTGGCTTTAGTGTGGGGCCCATGAGGTTGCCATGAATGTTGACCCTTCTTGGTGCCCATGTTAATGGAGTATGGTGACTGTGTGGTAGATTATTCAGACCTTCTCTCTACTCTGTATACATCATTATGTATGATGAGGTGGGCACATTAGTTCTCAGCATGCACTACTAATGCCTCCTCTCCTGTGTGGGGACAGGTAATGGATGACTACAGCGTGATTGGACGTTCCCTGTTCAAAAAGGAAACCAACATCCAGCTCTTTGTGGGGCTTAAGGTGCAGCTGTCCACAGGGGAGCAGGGTATCATCGACAGTGCCTTCGGTCAAAGTGGCAAGTTCAAGATCCACATCCCTGGTGAGTGCAGCTGCATCCCTGCAGAGAGTGTGGGAGAGATGGAAGGCCTGAGCAGAGTCAAGACAGCGTTGCTAGCCTTGACCTCTGGCTAGGAAGCAAGCATGAGTCCAGAGCAGGGACTGCACAGGGACAAGGTCAGGGTTGAACTTTATCCCACTGTTTAATATTTGGGACACATCCTAGCTTCCTTATGAAGTAGGTATTCATCTTACAGAGCGTGCTCAGAGAACAAGGGGAAAGGAAAGCCCGCTAGGGCTGGCATAGCACCATGATGTCCAGTAAGTTCAAGCAAATTGCCGAGACCATCAGACTCAGGGCCATGTGCATGACTGGGTCAGGGTGTACACCTGCTTCTGAAAGTGTAGCCTGTGTTTTTTTCATGTAGCCATCCTAAGGGGTCATGTATGTGTCTGTACCTACTGCATTTTATTGAAGCTGACTGTGTATTGGGCCAGTGCTTGGTACTAGAGATGTGCAAGTTGTCATGGGAGAGGACAGATAGTGAGCTATGGATATTTATTATATACCCACAGGCATTGCAAGACAAGTGCACAGGCCTGAGCTGGGATATGCAAGATGTGTGAAGTCTTGAGGTGGAAATTAGCTATGTGTAGGAAGGATACCCATCCAAGTTGGGGATGCACTGGTGTGGGAGTGTGAGGTAGGCATCTGCTGAGTATTTGAGGCCTGCAAGTCCGACAGTGCTGAGTGCCAGAGGTCAGGGTGGGGGCGGGGTCGTGCACTGGGTGTGTGAGAGCTGCATGTCTGAGTCAACATGCTGAGTATGCAAGAGCTGGAGGTCATTGGTGGGAGTATTCTTGCGGGATGAGCAGGTTACAGTTGGTCTTGTGTGTAGTTTCTTATGGCCCAGGAAGGACTGAGGGGTCTTTTGTAGTAATGCATTATGATCCCCAGTTTTTGATAATTTTCAGTTGAGCACAGTTGACATATTCACAGGGAACCATATCTGCTCTCACATGGACTCATATAGTCCTCTGGGGCTCCAGAACCCTGGGTTGGAAAAGGAGGTTAGATGTGAAGGGAGACTTAGATGAGGTGAACAAGGTCATCATCACCTTGGTTTGTAATTTCTTGGCTGGATCATCCCTGACTCAATCCTGGAATAAGGCTCCTTGGCTACTCCTCAGGAAAGGCTAGGGGACATACAAGGCCACAGATAATATTGCCCTCTCACAAAGGAAGACAGTAGTCACCAGAGACCCTCTCTGTCATTTCTGTCTGAGGCAAGGAAGCAGCAGGTATGCCCGCAGCAGAGACAAGGACCACTCATTGTCTTGTATAGCAGCTGCATAGTAGCTGGGCACACAGCTGGACTAGAACACAGTGTCTGCACTCAGAGAATTCACAGCCAGTTCTGTGTCTTCTCTGCAGTGCTTTTGAGTCTCACTGTGACATCCCTGTGTCAGGCCCTAGGACTCACAACGTGAACACAGTTGGGATGACTCCGTGTCAGTGGGGTTTACAGTGTCATCTGGCACCACAGGAGTTCCACAATATCTCTGGCTGAACTGTTCACAACTCTGGAAGGCTGGAGGCTGGAAACCCAAGATCAGAGCGTGGGCAAGGCTAGTCTCTCCTTGGTTTACAAATGTCCTGTCTCTTTGTGTCCTCTCGTAGCTCGTAGCCATCTCTGTGTATCTGTCTTTTTTTTTTTTGGTTTTTCGAGACAGGGTTTCTCTGTATAGCCCGGGCTGTCCTGGAACTCACTCTGTAGACCAGGCTGGCCTCGAACTCAGAAATCCGCCTGCCTCTGCCTCCCGAGTGCTGGGATTAAAGGCGTGCGCCACCACCGCCCGGCATATCTGTCTTAATCTTATGTAGACACCAGTCATGTTTTATTAGAACTCACATTAACTATCTCATTGTAACTGATCTCTTTAAAAGCTGTCTCCAAAGCAGTCTTAAGCTGAGGGACCTGTGTGTCTGTGTGTGTGTGTGTGTGTGTGTGTGTGTGTGTAGGGGCACGTGGTCAGCCTGCAGCAGGTGTGAAGATAGCCATGCATAAGCATTCTCAATGTTTGCATGTCACTAGCCATGCTAATGCTGGGCGGGAAGGTGTATGGTGTTGTGACATCTCATAGCAAAGCCCCTCACTGAATCTGGGGTTTGGAAGACTTCCCAAAAAGATGTCAGGCTCCCAGGACTGAGCCCAGAACACACACAAGCCAGTGTGCATTCTGTCATGGCATTGGTGCCCATGATGGGTGGTAGTGAAAGAAATGGTTGAGCAAGTGGAGTCAGAACCTGAGACCCAGTCTCACTATGGGCAGAACCAAGTTCATGGTCACTGGTGGGTCCCAAGTTATTAGTGAGCCACAGGAGTGTGTGTAGAGGAGCATCTGTGATACCTATGGAAGTCAGAGCCAAAGCCTGGGCTGGCAGCATGAGGCAGAGCTTTACTTGAGATGCCCTGCCCTCCTTGTGTTCATGGAGCTAAGCTAAGAGGGAAGAACTGCTCTCCCAAAACTTTGTGTACACATCCCCTCCTGTGTTCCAGCTGTGACCTGTGTCTCAGTGACACCTGAACCCAGTATGCTGGTTTTAGCTCCTTCCCAGGAGCAATGTGGTACAGAAGACTTCAGAACTAGCTTCTTCTTAGGGAAGCCCTAGGGGAAGGGGTCATGGGAGAGAGAGCATGTGACCCTCCCCTTTCAGAAGAGAATGGGAGGTAACCAGGAAGTTCCCCAGGCAACAGAAGGAAGAAAATCATCCAGGATGGAAGGAACAGAGAGTGCTAAGTTGTCACAGACTGGACAGAGTGTAACACAATTTGAGACTCTCGAATAATAACAGAGTGTAATAGGCATTGAACATTGTGCTGTGTGGGACATTGTTCTAAGTGCTTTACATGGTGTAGCTGTTTACTTTGGTGTGTCCAAAATGCTAGTCTGGGAACAGTTTTTAAGCAATAGTACTTCTGTCCCCCCAGCAACGTCTGTAGCAGAGGCCCCAGCATGCTTCCTGGTGCTCACCCTCTGTCCCAGCACAGGGCCTTGTCCTTGGATGGTGAAAAGGAGTAAGGGCTTTACTCCTGGAGGTCTTGAACTTGTACCTGTCTTGACTTTGGGTCTGGGTCCTTCTGTTGTGGGAATGGACTGTGCACTGAGGGTGCTTTCCAGTATCCCCAGCCTCATCTCTTTGCACAGTGCTGAGCCGTGGCCTTCTACATGATATCTCAGGGCACATTCAAAAATTGGTTTCCTTATGCATAGCTCTGTACTCAGCATGTTAACACAGACATTTGACTCATTTGCAGAACCTCCATGGGTCAGTTATTGACCAGGAGGGTAGTGATAGCATACTCCTTTAACCTAGCACTCAGAAGGCAGAAGCAGGAGGATCTCTGTTGGAAGACAGCCTGATCTACAGAGTTCCAGGACAGCTAGGGCTACACAGAGAAACCTGTATCAAACAAACAAACAAAAAAATAGTTGTTGAGTAGCCAGAGACAGCCTTTGCCAGGTCACATGCTAGGTGTGCAGAAGAGGTCTGAAAGGGACAGAAGAGCATGCTCTGAATCAACCATTGCTGGTGCTGGGCACCAGCTTCTGCCCAAGAAGTGGTGCAGAAATCAGTTTTCCATCTTGTAGCAGCCCTTTGTGGTAAGCTCTCAGGAAGGCTGTCGATAATTACTGGTCTGACAATAAGACAGTGTTCCCATCATGGAGGCTAGACAGGTGCTGGGCCCTCCCTGCTAAAGCACTGTCTACAGGTCAGTGACAGTCAATATACAGCATGTTGGCAGTAGCTGATGCACCCATAAAAGTCATCTTCGTTATTTCTGGGGCTCCTGCCTGGTGGGGTGTCTGAGAAAGCCAAAAGGTAAAATGGTCACATCAGCAGCAGTCCCAAGGCTGATTGAGCCTTTTACCCACAACTCTCAGAGTCTGCAGGTGTGACAAGGTGAACTGTCCAGGTCAAATGCCTTACCAAGTTACACGGCTGAAAAGGGACTTCGTTGGGCCCAGTGTGTCTGCCTGCAGAGCCCATTTTGGTACTGAGAACTGGCTGCAATGGGAGATGATCCTTAGTCTGGGAACCAAGTGGCTAGGGTGTGTGAGGACCTAGTGTGTGCTATATAGGCTCCAGATTCACCACATTCTTGCTGTCATCCTCCAGCTGAATTTAGATGGGCCCCTGGTCTACTACAGGTGTCCCTGGGGAGCATGTGTGAGCTAAAGAGGATCTACTCTGAACTGAACTTGGTTACCACTGACCAACAATGTCAGGTCCTCAGGCTTCAGTGGGTCCAGGCCAAGGGGCTGTGCTGTTCTTTTTGGGTTCAGAGGATAGACCATTACATGACTGTGGCAGCGAGCTCTTCCGTCCCTGGCACAGCTGCCTGTAGCACAGGCTGCTGCTCCAACCCAGATTCTCCACTGAGGATCCACCCACTCAGTCCCCCATCTGTCCATGTAAGATATGTGTAAGGAGCCAGGATCCAGGTGTCCTGGTCTTAAATCAGATTTCACTGGACTCACAGATTAGCCTGAAAAGCTAAGAAGTTGCTCATAGTCTCATCTCAGGGTTTTAGGTTTGGTTGGTTGGTTGGTGGGTTTAGTTTTGGTTTTTTTAAGGCTGGCTCTCTCATCTGTAACTCGTTAGGCCAGCAAGCCCCTAGCTGTTTCACCAGGGCTGGGACTGAAAGCACAGGAAGCCACCACACTGGGTTTTTCACATTGTCCTGGGGATTGCTCTCAGGTCCGCATGCTATGTATGCAGCAAGTATTTCACCAGGGTGACTCCCCACCAGCCTTCCTCTGGGACTTACATACAAGTGTGAGGAGGACGGTACACTGCAGGGTCACAGACTGTAGTATCCCAGTGTGAGTGCCCCATCATCAGATTACACAGGTGGGATTGGAAGGCCAGCCCCTCTACCTGTTGAAAATGGCAATGACTTGTTCCCTTGGGAAGTGTAATATCACTCATTGTCTGCAGCCCTGGTACCTTTGTCTGGCTGAGCAGAATTTGCAAGA